GTTTGAAAGACACAGGAGTTTAAAAGACACGGGGGTTTGAAAGACACAGGAGTTTGAAAGACACAGGAGTTTAAAAGACACGGGGGTTTGAAAGACACAGGAGTTTGAAAGACACAGGAGTTTGAAAGACACAGGAGTTTGAAAGACACAGGAGTTTGAAAGACACAGGAGTTTAAAAGACACGGGGGTTTGAAAGACACAGGAGTTTGAAAGACACAGGAGTTTAAAAGACACGGGGGTTTGAAAGACACAGGAGTTTGAAAGACACAGGAGTTTGAAAGACACAGGAGTTTGAAAGACACAGGAGTTTGAAAGACACAGGAGTTTAAAAGACACGGGGGTTTGAAAGACACAGGAGTTTGAAAGACACAGGAGTTTAAAAGACACGGGGGTTTGAAAGACACAGGAGTTTGAAAGACACAGGAGTTTGAAAGACATAGGGGCTTGAAAGACACGGGGGTTTGAAAGACACGGGGGCTTGAAAGACACAGAGGTTTGAAAGACACAGGGGCTTGAAAGACACGGGGTTTTGAAAGACACAGGGGTTTGAAAGACACATGAGTTTTGAAAGGCACAGGAGCTTAAAAACACATAGGGGCTTGAAAGACACAAGGTTCACACAGTTTAAACTCAGTACCTCATATATTTTATCCTTTTTTTTTTTAATCCAATTTAATATCCATACATTTTTTATCGAAATTGACTTTACCCAAGCGCAATCTAAGCAAACTTCCAAGATTTATAAACTTGATGACAAAGTAAGGTTACAAGATGACCATCTGATGCGTGTATTTTTGGGAGCACCGTGGAAACTTGTCAAGACGCTTTTCGTTTCATTTTCAATGTTGTATTTTCTTTTAGTGGAAGGTTATCTTTAGCAAAATTAATACACTCTACATTTCAATTAATTTCAATATAAAAGAAGCTGTGTGGTTAATAATGTTAATTTTTAGTAACCACGCCCAGACCTGTATTTTAATATAATACCTTTTTTTGGAAGGAGGGCGCCTATATTCAGGCTCTGCCCAGGGCGCAGCTTCAGAGGCATGGGGAACAGGGGGAGGCGGGGGAGGGGGGGTGGGTCAGGGGGACAGTGTCCCCAGCTAGTTAGCGGGCGCCAAAGTGTGCTTTCGTATTATTTTATTGATGAAAATAATGGGTTTGAGAGCTGAAAAAAGTAAAGGGGCACCTTACACTGAATCTTGTCCCCGGGCGCCAAACACTCTTGCGATGCCTCTGCGCAGCTTATGCTGGTGTATATTTGATACAAGACTCATTTTATGACCAATTAGAGCTTTAGAGCTTTTGTTCTGACAAATTTGATTCCATCCCTCTTTTTTTTTCTCTCGCTCTCGAATTTCTCCACAACGTCTTGTTTCCCCCGATTGCAAACGGTGGTCTTGTGGTGGGGGCACATCATTTGTGGGATTTTTCTGGGTGTGGTTAGGTAGTCCGGTGTCCTTCTTCTTGCCAATGTTGCCACATCTGTCAAATGAAGATGTGGCCAGACTTTTGGATCCGATTATTAGAATTATGAGACAAGATGGTGACTTGTATTGATGCGAAGAAATGAGAAGTTGGTTTCCCCTCATCTTAAACTTAGAAATGCAAGATTTTATCAAACGGAATCGATTTACGAGAAATTTTAAATTAATTAATTTTTATTTAACAAGGTTTCTTTACATTTTAATTTAAATTTGTAAAAATTTTAAAAACAAACATAATCCTAGCTTAAATCACTTTTTGAAATGAAATTATAACATAACTTATTACATATTAATTTTCGTATGTCAATTTTTTTTAAAGTTGTCGGTAAAATGTTTTAAAGTATAGTTTTAAAATTATTTTTTTTTTTAAAAAAGAGAAGTTTTTACCTTATTAACAAAGTTGACCAAAAAAAAAAAAGTAATTTAAAGTTGTCTCCCCTGTGCACTAAAAATCAAAAAGATTCAAAGATTGAAAAAATCGGTCTTTTTGTTGGATGAGTTAACTACATATAAGATAATATATATATATATATATATATATATATATATATATATATATCAAGACGTAACATATATTAATTAATTTGATATATTACATTTCAAGTCCCCAAAAAAGAAGAAAAAAAAACTTTTTTATTTCCGAACTAATCTGGTAACACATTTTTTATTAATGTTTTTTTTTCCTTTTAAGCCACGGTTTGCGTAGACAGCCACATACACACATCAATTAAAATGTATACCGTGCAAACATCAATTAAAATGTATACATACATCAATTAAAATATGTACATACCAAAACTGAAATGTATACGTACATCAATTGAAATGTATACTTCCATCCATTAAAATGTATATTTCCATTAATTAAAATGTATTAATACATCAATTAAAATGTATACACACATCAGCTAAAAGTCTAACAAAATGATACGCAACATAGAACATCTGTGTTTTTAATACAATGTACCGCATCACATCCCTAAAGCAATCTCATTGAAGTTCCAAAGTTTAGCGTGGGGGGAGAGGGGGGGAGAGGGGGGGATAAGATTTAAAGAAAAACAACAGCTAGGGATGTCTTAAATGAGACGGGGGGGGGGGGGAAAGGGGGTNGAGGGCCCCTAGAAGTGTGCGGCCCTCTGGAAGTGTGAGGGCCCCTAGAAGCGTGCGGCCCTCTGGAAGCGTGAGGGCCCCTAAAAGCGTGTGGCCCCCTGGAAGCGTGAGGGCCCCTGGAAGCGTGCGGCCCCCTGGAAGCGTGAGGGCCCCTAGAAGCATGCGGCCCCCTGGAAACGTGATGGCCACTAGAAGCATGCGGCCCCCTGGAAGCGTGAGGGCCCCTAGAAGCGCAAGGGCCCATAGAATCGCGAGGGCCCCTGGAAGCGTGAGAGCCCCTGGAAGCGTGCGGCCCCCTGGAAGCGTGAGGGCCCTTAGAAGCGCCCCCTAGAAGCGTGAGGGCCCCTGGAAGCGTGAAGCCACCCTGGAAGCATGAGGCCACCCTGGAAGCGTGAGGCCACCCTGGAAGCGTGAGGGCCCCTGGAAGCGTGAGACACCCTGGAAGCTTCAGGCTCCGGCCATTGTGCCAATGTCGGCACTGAAAACAGCGTAATTAAAAAACAAGCACTCAGTGTGTTTTTATTCTTTTGTGCCGCCACAAACACAATCGGGAGAGCACGCTGGTAATTCATGGCGTTTTGGGGAAGCCCGTTGTAAATTTGAAGACGTATTGGGAGAAGCCTGTTGTTAATTTCAAGACGTTTTGGGGGAAGCCTGTTGTTAATTTCAAGACGTTTTGGGGGAAGCCCGTTGTTAATTTCAAGACGTATTGGGGGAAGCCCGTTGTTAATTTCAAGACGTATTGGGGAAGCCCGTTGTTAATTTCAAGACGTTTAGGGGGAAGCCTGTTATTAATTTCAAGACGTATTGGGGAAGCCTGTTGTTTATTTCAAGACGTATTGGGGAAGAAAAAAAATTTTTTTTCCCACAAGAGAGGTAACACAACACTAAATTTCTAAACAAAAAATATTTTTCCATGTTCGACATGTAATCAAAGGACCTAACTGCCACAATTGGTGATATACATCTTGGATACGAAAAGAAATAAAATAATAGTAATAAAAATAAAAGGAAATCTAGAATTATGAATGCGTCTCTGTCTGCCCCCAACAATTTCCAAAAATAAACAAACAAACAACAAAAATATAAACTTTATCGGGGGGAGGGTGGGAAATGGGGGTGGTCAATACTTTCATTTTGCCCCAGGCAGCATAAGATGCGCTTCAAAACAAAGGCATAAAGTTAATTAAATTAAGCTTCTTATGTACATACATATCAGGTGTATGAAATAAGATGTGTAAATTCTTATGTGAATGACACTATCTTTAAATCTTATGATATTATAGTTGTGAAAAAGAGATGTTGCGTTCTCTTTAAACAAATAAACATATGTTTACCAATTAAGAAAAGTAATAGCGTTAACAAAACGTGGGTACATTTACATAAGTATGCCAATGAATATCAAAACCCAATAATTTTACGCACGTGAAAATTTAATTTTGAAAAATAGAGACAGGTTAAAATCTTCTAGCAAAAAATGAAAATTAATTGTTTTTTTACTTTGCGAAAAGAAAATTGGGTGTAAATTGTTATGAGATTAATAACATTTCTGTAAAAGACACTCAAATCTGTTACAGACGTGAAAAATGGTTAAGAGATTCTTCTTTAGATAAAAGAAGTCTATGTTTTACGATTCTCCGATAATATAATAGAAAACAAAGGAAAAAGGTTTGGTTAAAATTTTAATGAAGATATCAAAATATTGAAGTCCGTTATAATAAAATATATTTAAAATGGTATATACAGTTTTTGTATTAAATTGAAGATAAGATAATATAAGATAAGAAAGATCCCTTTTTTGATCCAAACAATTGGAAATGTTTTTTTGATTGCAGTGTACATATACATTTTCAGCTCATACATAAATATATATTTTAATAAAGTCCGCATTAAGATTAAGTTTTCGCAATTTTTAAGGGAAAAAAAATTAGCGTAGGGCCACGAAAATTGGCAGGGTAGGCCCAACATTTAACACTTTAAAGACGTATAAGTATAACATCTAAGGTAGTTCTCATTTCAGATCATGGTTAGAGGGTAAAAAATTGTAGTTTAGGGAAGCGAAAAATTGGCAGGGTAGGCGTATTGTGCATAGCAGAAAACACTTCTTAAAACTTTTAATGATTTTAGAAATGTAAATATCATTCCTTAGCTACTTCTTTTGTGAATTAGATATTCTTACGAGCTTTCGCAATTTCAGGTATACATTGTCGCAAAGTGCCTGCCTTTCTTATCTTGATAAAATCACATCGTATTTTATATTAATATAATAAATACATTCATAATTTATAGACATAATATATCAATCGTATCTATCTTACCCTAACCCTAAACCGCAATCCTAACCCTAACCCTAACCCTAACTATTATGGCACATATTTTATTGACAGGGCTGTTTTGAGGAAATCTTGTTTCTGTTTTCTTTTTTTTCTTTTTTTTTACATCAAAAGTAAAACTCATTTAATTGATGAAAACTTGATTTCACATGGAGTATTGCTATCTTTATTACGGGTAGTTTTTGTGGGGAAACATTTCATTCTGAGCCAAAGCTCCAACTCATGAGCTAAACTTTCAAGAGCGATTGAATATAATAGGAATAATCATTTTGAAATGCAACTGAAAATTGCTTTATACATGATTAGTGAATTGATTTAGTTCGATCCCTTCTAGTATAACTTTCAACGATCAAAGTTAAATAATTGAAAAGTGTGTACATTTTGAGTATATTTGTACAATGGAATATAATCTATAATAATATGGACAACGCCATGAAGTATTGATCAAAGTACAACTAATTTTTTTACAATTTAGTATCTTGGATGCATGAAGAAATCTTTGGGTCAACGACTCTGGTCTTTGGTTAGTCAGATGTACAGCTTGTTAAACGATTTGCGCCCACTGCTTAAACTCATGGTGATCTAGTCCAAAGCCTAGTGCCCACGGGTTACACATGGTGCCCACGGCTTAAACACTTGGTGCCCAATATTTAAACACAAGGTGCTCACGCGTAAACACATTGTGTACAAGGGTTAAGCACATGGTGGATGACCACAAGATGCCCACGAGCTCTGTCTGCCTCACGTTTTAATTGCCGGCCACTCTGAAGCATTCCTGAAACCCTTCTTGCTGGAAAACGCGTATGCGATTTTGCACTTGAGTTTTTGGCATGTCGGTGGGCAGGCCTCGCAGCACTTGTTCGGACACAGATGGCCCCGACGACATACCTTCTTGCACGGCTTCTCACACAGTATGATTATGGGACCATGTGTTATGAACACGCTTTTAGGAACACTTTCACAAAAGTGACCGCATTCCAACACTTCTCTACAAGGCAGACATGCCTCACTACAATTGGAGAGGCACTCATGACCTCTCCCACAGACTTTTTGACAAGGCTCATCGCAGAGGAAATAATTACCAGTGATTCCGCAGCCGGTGTATTCGGAGCATTGTTTGCGTGAAAATGGGGGACTTCCACGTATCTTAAACGATGGACTTCCACTTATCTTAACCGATGGACTTCCAGGTATCTTAGCCGATGGACTTCCACGTATGATAACCGATGGACACGACTTGGATGGGGACCCAAAATCTTGTGCACATTTATGTCCGCACCTTAAAATCTTTTGGCAGCTTTTAGGACACGCCTCTGGGCACTTATTGGGGCAGGCGTGGCCGTTGACGCAAACACATCTACAAGGTTGGTAGCACATTGTGTCTCTTGAGAAGGAGTCAGATGGCAGATCTGTACAGATGTGTCCACAAGGGAGTACAGTCGCACAGGGGGAGCATGGCTCACCACAGCGCTTGGGACATGGGTGACCTTTGACACATATATTTTTACAACGTAGTTTACACATCGTTTTTATAGAACACTTTTCAGTTATAATGTGTCCACATGGGAAACGCTTATGTACAAGTTCAGAGCATGGGGGACAAAGCTCTGAGCATTTTGACTGGCACTGGTGTCCTCTGGGGCAAAGTTGCTCACAACGCTGTAGGCATATAAAGACATTTGATTTGTTACGACACGCTGTTATAATTTCATGTCCACAAGGAAGCAGTCGCTGGACAAGCACGCTGCAAGGTGAGCATGTGTCTTTACATGAAAGGGGACATGCATGGCCTGCTGGACATTTTCTTAAACATGGCTGTCTGCACACGATATTCCCATATTGATAGCCACAAATGACCTGTACACTGTGCCCACATGGTAATTTGCGAGCATAGGGGACGGGACATGCGGGACATTCCCTACCACATCTACCTTTACACTTGTGTCCTCTCGGGCATGTCTTTAAACACGCTTGATTGCACACGACATCATCGTGCCCACCAACATGACACAATTTCAAACATGCGTGACCACACGTCAGGGTGGTTTCACAAGGCTGACCACAACCCTTGAGTTGAAGGGCTTTGGTCCAATCCTTGATCTCAACAATTTCTGCAATGCGCCCGTGTTGCTGACATCGCAGTCTCAGCACACTCCCGATGCATTCTTGCCTCTCGGCGGTCTCGCTGATCTTGCACCACAGGTCACTGTGCCTCACCAACAGATCGATATCTCCGATCACATACATTCCGAACTGAGCCCGTGATAACGCCACACACACGCGGTTGTCTGTGCTGAGAAACCCGACTCGCTCTTTGACATTACTGCGTACCAAAGAAAGGAGAATGATTTTATTCTGCTCCCCTTGGAAGTTGTCGACGGTTGACACATGGACTTTCTCAAGACACGGATCTTTAGAATTTCTGATAAGTTCTTGTATCAAAGTCACCTGACCGGAGTACGCACCCAGGATGGTTATCTCGTCTGCGCCATATCCCTGTATAATAAGGTACTCGCAAAGTTTGATGAGGTATCTAGCCTCGAAGTTGTTAAGTTTGCTGGCACTGTTTTTCACATTGTTTTCCGGTTGGTTGTGTTTGATGAAGAACACATTCTTGTCCATGCCACTCACAGACGGTCTCCCTTTGACGGACTCGCTGTCTTTCAGATCGGGATAAATGAGTCTCATGAAGACCGAAATCTCTGGTCGCATGCGATGTTGCTCCACGAGCTGAATGCAAGTAAATTTGTTGTTGACAAGTCTTTCAAACATAGAAACCTCGAGACCGAATTCTTTAGCCAGCTCGTAGACTTGAGTTCTTGGTCTCAGCTGTTGGTGGTCTCCAATGAGGATCAGGTGCTGGCAGTGTTCGTTTAATGCCGTAATGATGTGAGCCTCAAGCACCTCAGCGGCCTCCTCCACCACAATGATTCGCGGACCGATCGTTCGGAGCAGCTTCCGGCTCCTGGCAGCGCCCGTCGTTGTCATGCCAACCACCGTGGCTTCTCTCAAGATGGCGCTGTCTTGAACATCTCTTATCTCACGATGTTCTTCAAGAAGTAAATTGTACTGGTCTGTTAGACTTTTCAGATGCGATGACATTGCCATCATCAGACTGTTGTACCACAACTTGTATAATCTGTATCTACTGTCTCTATCCAGAATCCAAACATTCCCAGCCGTCTTCTCTTCCTCTTGACTCATCGGCACAGAAACTTTGATCTTCCTTAATGCCTGTCCAAAAGTCAGCTTCATCCAGGTATTTTCTGATGACGCCACACCACACATTGTAACATCGACACCTAGCATTAGGGCTCTGTTTAAAATGTCCACTTTCCTGGAGTCGAACTTCCCTTTGAACTCTTGGAATTCCCCGTCGTCAGAGTCGTAATCCCCATAGCTTACGTCAGAATCTTCACCAATTTCGTCGTTTGCAACTCCCTCACGTTTTTGGAACATATCCTTTTTGAGTTCGTCTATGGAGTCCAGCATTTCATCCACATCCCTGCCCAGCAACCAATCACTGATATTCTCGTAACCACTGTCCTGTATCTTAGTCAGTACGTTGTCTGATATAACGGTCGTTAGAATCTCTTCTCCTAAAAATGTATCATTAAATGGCCTCCCGGACTTCCGTTCGTATTCGGAAACCCAGTTCTTGTAAACAGCTGCCTTCGTTGCCATGGGGATATTCCTGCGGAAATCTAAGCAACGCTCCTTGCGTGTCAGGGTGCATTGTTTCATCAGCGACACGAGATGGCTTTGAACAGCAGTCGTAATGGACGTTTCAAGATCCACCTCTTCCATGTCGAGCCAGAGTTTCAGTTTTGGCCCAGTATCTGGCCCATCCAGAAGGCTTTCAAGGTGGGACGCGGACATGAAATCTTTCAAATCATCCAATTCAGGAATGTCGACCTGGAACATTTTAATTTCTTGGCATAATTGTTTAATTTCACGTTCAGCTGCTCTCATTTTCTTAACAACAGATTTTTTATACATTGAAGTGAATTGTGACGTTTTTCTTTTCAGTCGAATTTCTCCCAGATTATACGATTTTAAAGCAGTGCTGGTGCTTTGACCACCAACTCTCACGAGCCCCTTGGCACAAAACGGCAGCAACCCCTCGAGGAACTGGTCGAGGGCGTGGTTGGTGAAGCACACCACGAGAATGGGTCTGTCGTCAGGAACACCGCGGCCTCTGTTTTCAAGAAGGATCCTCATAAGCTTCCAACTGACGTACGTCTTCCCGGTTCCGGGCGGTCCTTGCAGCAAGGTCAGTTCTTGCGTCAGCGCCACCTTTACGGCCGTGTATTGTTCTTCATTTAGACACACTTTGGTCAAGCGTGGCCAGGAATCCGTTGGCAAGAGTTTTTGTGGCGACCACTTCACGCGTGTCAAGTCATCGCCCTTGATGCTATTTATATCATAGCACGTTGTGTCAGTAATATAAGAAGTTTGTTTTGATTCGGGTTCACACTGTACGAGATAAGGCTCCATCGGTAAAGGTGAATCAAACATGTCCTGTAGCCCTTCCAGCACGTATCTGTACGCCACGAAGAAAGACGGCGATTCAATCAGTTTGAGCTTTTCGTCTGCAGCGATCCCGTAGACGGCATCGAACGAGTTGTAAAACTGCACATAGAGAATCCCGGATAAAAGATTTTCGGGAGAGTTATGCCCCACTGTGGCAAAGAGCACGCTGTCAAAATTGTCGTTTGAAACACAAACAAGATTTCCTGTCATGAAATATTTCGTGCAATCCCATTTGGTTTTATTTAGTTTGGCAATGTCCAGAAGCAGGGAGTGTACTATTCCATTCTCCACTCGGGCCCCGATAATCCGAACATTGTCGTAAAGTATCAGTTTCGAGTCCGACAATTGTTGACTTCCTTGCCTGCACTGGGAAACAGTTTCGCGCAGGGGCCGCATAAAGTCCTCCCTAAGTAATCGAAACATGACGTCAAAGTACTCTCTCTTATCTTGGAAAGAACCCACGACTTTGTTGGCTCTGAAAAACGGCTTCGCACCGTCGTTGACGTCATGCTCTGACGTCACACAACCGTTGACATCTCGCTCCGACGGTAAAACCGTCATCTCTCTGAAATCTTCCGGGGGCTCGTCCTGACCTACACACTTAGCTAGTTTTCCTTCGTCTGTTTCAATATTCAGTTCCAAAGCCCGGTCAAAAGAATCGATCATCGTAGTCGTAGGTGTGTCCCCATCGTAATCGAATCCTGTATCGTTCTCGTAGACATAATCGACGAAATCTCTACAGCTCTCAATCTCTGATGGCAAGCAACGAGCAATCTCAATCACCAGCCGCATCGCAGCCTTCACCATGACGCCGACAGTTCGGTCGCCTCTCCGCATCCTCGTCATATAACCGACAAGATGAAACGGGAAGAACTTTGAGGATGCGATGACCTCCAGGAAATTCTTGAAGCCGTGCGTCTGGTTTTTGAACGTCAGCGTGGTCTGGAGTACGGCGGCCAGCAGCTCCATCTTGTCCGAGTTGATGACGTCCGAGTCCAAGAAGGCGGCCAGCTGGTCCAGGTTATGCATGATTCGAACAAACAGCTCGCCGGGGTTGTCTCCGAGCGCCGCCCATTCCTTCAGCTTGGTGTAACTCACCGACCCACCTCTCTGCTGGCTTGGGGCACGACTGCTTCTCCCTCGCCCACCCCTGCGTCTTGGCCTTCTTGAGTTCATCCTGTGAAGATTGTGATTGAAAAAAAAAATATGATTGAAAACTCTTATTATGCATTTGGCGTGTTTTAACGTAACATTACCCCAATATAATTAACGTCTTTGTACCCTACAACCCTTAACGTTATCTTACCCTAGTACCTCTAACTTGCTCTAACCAAATATATATCTGGTAATAGTATCCAAGCAACTGGAACGTATTTTTACATCAATTGTAAGTTATATATTACCCAAACGCAGTTAACAAAATATTACCCCCCCCCCATTCGTTTACTGTAATATGTTTCAGGGCCATCCATATGGTACGTACTATTCGCCCTGAGGGGTGGGGGTCGATTTTCGTACGCATGCGTATGGCCCGACTCCAGGTGTGAACCCTGATATTGCTGACCCTCAAAGTATATGTTTAAAAAACCAACTGACGTGGACCAGTTAAAAACCACATTGTTTTTGTTTAGTTCATGGGATTTTATTGTTTCATTCTCTAATCAGGTCCAATCTAAAGATGATTCCCAGGGCAACGCGGAACCCACAGGGCGCAGCGGGACATATTCTGAGTATACCACAAGTCTCGCCAAACAGCTGTGAAAACTCATATATGTTTTTTTTTCCTCTTTGTTTTTTTTCTCTTTGTTTTTTTTTTTTTTTTTTTTTTTTTTTTTTTCCTTTTTTTTTTTTTCCCTTTGTTTTTTTTTTTTTTGTTTTTTGTTTTTTTTTTGACGCTGACGTCATAGCTGTACTAAATAGATCGATTTTTTTTTGTTTATTTATTAAATAATTAATTAAAAAAATTTTTGTTTCATTGCGGGATAACTTATTTTACATGATTCCCAAAAATGTTATGCATGAAACGGGGGTGTCAACAATGTAAGTTTTTTGCTTGAGTACAATGTGGATGGCTGCAAAGGGAAGATTTTCTCCCTAAATATTCAAAGCACGGTACGGTATTGTTCGGAGAATAAGCGCTTAAGCCAGTGGTTCTCAACCTTAATATGGCCGCGACCCTAAAATGCAGCACCTCTTGTTGTGGTGACCGCCAAAACATAAAATTATTTTCGTTGCCACTTCATAAATATATGTCTTCCGATGGTCTTAGGCGACCCTTGTATAAGGGTCGTTTGACCCCAAAAGGTTGAGAACCACCGGCTTAAGCTAAAGATGCATCCTACAATCAGGATGTTAAAAAAATTATTATATCGGAACATGTGAATTAATAACGATTAGTAAATGTGCAGGATATGGAAAAAAAAGATTTATGATACAAGATAAAAATATTTATGATTTAAGATAATAAAGATTGCTTATTGTCGAAAGACGAGATAAGATTACAAAAAAATAAATACATAAATGGAAAATGTTAATCTTTTTATTTTCCCAAGTCCATTACAAAATAATTCTTTAGTTAAATCAAAGCAAGTGATACTCTGAGTTTTGATCACTAATCTGATTCAAATACACAAACTAACAAACATTCACTCACCTTGGTATACTTTGGGTAAAGTTCTTTTCAGTTTGCTGTGTAATTTTAACACGGTCTCTATTTTGTAAGTCCTCACACTTACACTGTCTCTAATGGCATTATGTACATGATCTCAGCTGTGTAATTCAGTACATTATACACGCTGTGTATTTCCGTACACCATCCCAGCTATATATTTCCTTACATTATCCCAGCTTTGTAATTCCGTACATCATCGCAGCTGTGTAAGTCCGTCACGTATCATCCCAGCTGTGTAAGTCCGTCACGTATCATCCCAGCTGTGAGAAATTCCTTTACCTCTCCTTTCTGTTTGGCACGTCTAGCGGTGTCAGTCCCACCGGTGCAAAACACAGACCACCCCGCGTATCCCAAAAGCCACCCAGACAATGGCAAACCTGTTTTGTCACTATGCATAATGAAAGCAACGTGTGACCTTACGTCTTGTTCAGTTCCAAGAAATGGCGGTGTCTTGTATCGTTATCGAAACCACACTGATAACCCGGATGAAAAGAGATCGTGCGTAAATTACTTAGCGCTAAAAAATGAACTTTTTAGACCCCCCCCCCCAACCGGTCACGAAGTGTCACAAATTCTTTAGCCACCCCCCACCCCACCCCAGCGTAAGGTCACACCTAAAAAAAATTCAAAACATCAATCAAATTTTCATAACTAAACTAAGATTTTATTTTATTCTTTAACATGTTCCCATAATGGATTAAGATGTAGGATTATTAGAAAACNAAAAAAAAAAAAAAAAAAAAAACGTGCCGGCACTAATTCTCCGCCCCCCCCCCCCCCCACTCCCCACTGAGCGTGACATAATTTGCGAACGACCCCAAACTGGTCATGAAACGGCAGAATGTGTTGCAGAGAGCAGCGTGAGATACATGGAGGTGACATTTATTTCAGTTGACACACATATCAAACTATTGGCCAACTCTGTACATTAGGTTGGGGACAAGGGAGACAAAAGTTCAAGGGGATCTTGTTGTGATTGAAAGGGGTATTTTTTTGTTTCGAAAGGCATTTATTGTTTCAAGGGGTATTTATTGTTTCAAATGATATTGATTGTTTCAAAATGGTATTTATTTTTTCAAAATGGAATTTATTTTTTCAAAGGATATTTATTGTTTCAAATGGTATTGATTGTTTCAGAAGCCAAAGGTATTTGTTGTTTCAAAGGGGTGTTTGTTGTTTCCGAAGGTATTTAATGTTTCGAAAGCCATAGCTATATATTGTCTCAAAATTTATGAACGCTTCAAAAGGTAGGCCTATTTGTTGTTTAAAAACGGTATAACTTTGAAGTTCTTGAAATACTTGAGTTTGAGACTTCCTTGTTGTGGCCCAGCCAATGGGAAGTTAACACGTGAGTGGGGTTAAACCGGTTTGGTTGTTGTTGTTGATGATGATCTGGATGGGGGAGTCCATATCACGTCACTAGGTTTTCTGGCACATGACTGACAGGACCAATAAGGTGTCGTGAGATATTAACCATATCATCATGCACGCGCGCCGCGAAGGGGTGAATCTCCACTCCCGGGGTATGTGTACAAAGTAGGGATGGGGAAAATAAAGAGGAAAGCATTCCTATGCATTAAAAATAACATATTTATTAAAAAAAAATAAAAACTCAATTAAATTTATTGTGATAGGACTTTAGGTATGTATAGTGACTTTCAACTAGAGTAGCTCTACAGTCCAAGCTACATGAGCAGTGACTTTCAACTAGAGTAGCTATACAGTCCAAGCTACATGAGCGCAATTTTCAACTTAGGGAAATTCAACGTCTGAGTAAAAAGCACGGGCACCTTGGCTCCTGGCGACATACGATATATGTGTCGTGACACGCGCCTAATACACATTTGTGTCTATTTACGACAGGTGCAGCAGTAGGGTGATTATTCATACTTATATCGGACTAGACGAGCATATTCCATCTGTGCTGGATGCTAACCTTTGTGTCTAGCTAAGACAATGACAAAAGACTGCAAAGCAATTATAATAAGCTTATTTGTAATTATAATCATACATATAAAGACGAGTTAAAAAAAAAATAATGTTTGTAAATTTGTATTTGTGACCCCGGCCCTAATGTACCAATTAACACAGCGGTATCACAAGTACCCCACGAATCTGAAACTGAAAGGGGATTTAAGGAGAATCGTTTGAATCTGGGCTACGTGTCAACAGGATTTAATGGGGGACTAAATATAATCGGTCGAAGCATGTGTAGCTATGAGCTATGGTGTGTATCTCTTATCTCTGGTGTGTATGCCTGATATGTGGTGTGTACCGGTACATCTGCTCTCTGTTGTGTACCCCGTATTTCTGGTGTGTACCTCTGCTCGCTGGTGTGTAGGCCATATTTCTGGTGTGCACGTCTGATCTCTGTTGTGTACCGGTAGCTCTGCTCTCTGGTGTGTAGGCCATATTTCTGGTGTGTACGTCTGATCTCTTGTTATGTATCGGTAGCTCTGATCTCTGGTGTGTACCGGTACCCCTGATCTCTGTTGTGTACCGGTACCCCTGAAAAGTGGTGTGTACCCCTGATCCCTGGTGTGTACCCCTGATCCCTGGTGTGGACCCCTTATCCCTGGTGTGTACCCCTGATCCCTGGTGTGTAACCCTTATCTCTGGAGTGTACCCCTGATCCCTGGTGTGTACCCCTGATCCCTGGTGTGTACCCCTGATTCCTGGTGTGTACCTCTGATCCCTGGTGTGTATCACTGATCCCTGGTGTGTGCCCTCATCCCTGCTGTGTTCCCCTGATCCCTGGTGTGTGCCCTCATCCCTGGTGTGTACCCCAGATCCCAGGTGTGCTCCTGATCCCTGGTGTGTACCCCTCATCCCTGGTGTGTGCCCCTCATCCCTGGTGTGTGCCCCTGATCCGTGCTGTGTGCTCCTGATCCCTGGTGTGTGCCGGTACCCCAGATCCCTGGTGTGTACTTCTGATCCCTGGTGTGTACCCCTGATCCCTGGTGTGTACCGGTACCCCTGATCCCTGCTGTGTGCCCCTGATCCCTGGTGTGTACCCCTGATCCCTGGTGTTTACCCCAGATCACTGGTGTGTGCCCCTGATCCCTGGTGTGTACCCCTGATCCCTGGTGTGTACCCCTGATCTCCGTTGGGTGCCGGTACCTCTGAGTCTGAACTCTTGGCATAATAGAGAGAGGTGCGACTACACAGGACAACTTTTTAAAAATGTTTTTTTTTTATATTGTCTGAACATTTTATCATAAAAGTATCTAATGTTACGCTTGTCCTTGTTAAAAATTGATATTTAATTTAATTTTATTTTTTTTTTGGTGGGGGGGGGGGGGGGGGGGGGGCTTTACTTTTTTTGTTTCGCTTCATGAGCTGAAAATAATAAAATAATCTTATTAAATCTGATCTTATTTAATCTGACATTATTTTTTTTTTAAATCTTGAGAAAAATAAATTATTTGAGAGAGGGGGAATCGTGTGATGAGCAATTCCATATTAACTTTGGTGCACCTGCACCAGGTCTATTCTAAGTTTAAAAATTATTAGGCCTAATTATTCGATTAAGTTTTAGGGACCCCGTTATTAGTCTAACTGATTATGCTTAGTAGATTTCGATTAAGTCTTGCGTATATGCCAGTGGAGTAGCGGGGGGGGGGGGGGG